AATGACCCCAAGGTTGCGCCGTGCATAAAACTCAGAGTCGCGTTAGAGGTATGATATATATATATATATATATATATATATATATATATATATATATATACACGCTGTTTTTTTTTCCCATGTGTTCTAGGTGCAACAAGGCCGATCGCGTGGGTCCGTGCTTAGCGGCTAGGAAGTCACCTCCCAGGGCAACATGGAGTGTCAGGTATATTCTGTCATGATCTGGGAGCGAGGCACACATTAACTTCTTCTCACAAATCAAACAATGCTTTTGCAGACAACTTTTAAGAATACACGTGTTCTTGAATGAGGATTTCTTCAAACTGCAAGTCTTTTACACATCTTTGTTAGAAAACTTACCGTATTACCTCGTTGGCAAACATACACACTCACGCACGTGCGCGCAAACACGCACACATAATACATACACAATTATTTTTCAAATAGGTATATATGCTGATGAGACAACTATCTACTTCTGTCTAAATAGCAAATCCCGATAGGATTGGCAAAGTAAAACAGGCGGCTGCTCTCGAAAATGACCTCCGATCAGTTGTTAACTGGGACAACAAACGACTCATAAATTTTAACGCTTCCAAAACGAAACCACCGCCCTTTCAATGTCATAGAAAACCATTCAGCATGGCTGATGCCAACCTTCAGGAGAGCAACTTATTGCACGTTCTTGGTTCCATGTTTTTGACAGACATGAAGTGGAGTCATTATTTTGAATCAATTGCTAGGTCGGCTACTAGGAAATTTGCTTCACAGTGTAGTGTCAGACAATTTTTATCATCAGAATCCATCTTTCTTTTTATGTGTCATGTCCTTTCAGGACGTAGGCGATCATGGCTCTCCACCTCCTTCTATCCCTTGCAGCTCTCAACAAGTTCCTTCCCTCTGCTTCCTCCTCCCAGACCACGTTCTGTAATCCACTTGCTTAAGCCCGCCAGGTATGTCATGCGTTGTTTTCCCTTGTCTCTCCCTTCTATTCGACCCGTGAGTAACAAATTCTCCAAGCCCTTCTTCCTCATTATGTGTCCCAGAAACTTTAGCTGCCTCTTCCTGATGCAAGCATAAGCCTCCTCTTTGTTTGCAACCCCTCTAAGATCGTTGCTCATACGTCCGGTCCGTAATATCCTTAGCATCCTTCTGTAGAACCACATCTCTGTCGCCTCGAGTCTCTTCTTCATCTTTGAGGAAATCGTCCAACATTCACTGCCGTAAAGAAGGACAGATGTCACGTAAAGGCTCAGTATTCTTTTGTTACCAAATATATGTTTATTGTATTTTAAATACAATTGCGGCACGTGGCCAAAGAAGGGGAGGGGTAGAGGCTGGTCCAAACTAACTATCCTATACCTAGCTAATCAGATTCGCGACCCATTCATACATTACAATTTACCCATTCACCACAAGAACTCGTCCGTCACCAATCAATCCTCCAACCACCATAATACCTCATCCTCTCAAGGGGAACATACAAAAACGCGCCCCACAATATACATATGTGACTAGTGAGTTAGTCAAAATGACTTAATTCCCTTTATAGTCTACCAATAGAAGATTAACCAATCAGAAGCCGCAGAACATTGTATCCGTCGTGTATAAAGGCGGCCATTTTTTGTTTACCCTACCGGAATGACCAGTGCCAACTTGTTAGGCGAAGATGAATAAGAAAGAACTACGCTCTGCTACTTTGCTGCGATATCCACTGCTAACCTGAACTACGCTTTCCTACTGTCTCCGAAATATTCACTGCTAACCTCTGGATTCTATACTCGAAGACGACCGTCATGAATTTGTAACAAGATATCCTCTTGTCTCGCAGTACTCTGCCCAGCTTTTGGAATGTGTCCTTGCACATTAATAAATCTACCATTCGTCTATGCATTGAATGTTGTTGCTATATTTGGTCTGAGGCCCCTGCTGTATATCTCAAGATTCTCGACAAAATCCCAAGAAGAGTCCGCAATGTTATCGGTCTTGATCTGGCATTTCCACTTCAGGCAATTTTCTACCGCCTTAACGTGATTTCCCGCCGTCCTTACGATAAATATTATCATGGCAGTTGTTCTAATTAGATTTCCGCCTTCGTACATCGACCGCATGAATTTAAGCTTAACATTAAACCGGCAATTCGGTCTCAGCGTTTTACTGTTGAAATAGTTAGATGTAACCGTAAGTTCTATTCTAATAGTTTCTTCTCTCGCACTTCTCGCCTGCGGAAATTTCTCCCGATTTCTTGCATCTCTGCTACCTAAAATCTTTAAAATGTAAATGCAACTTCAGTCGTCACTTTTGACATTTTGTCACCCCTCTTTGTCCTGTTATTCATTCACAGAAAATACTGAAGTAAGTTACTCGTTGCGCCCCCACCCGCGGCTTTTCCGGTTTTCAATATGTTATGAGAGGTCTACATTCCCCAGACCCTCCTAAAGACCTCAAACAGACAACCGAGCACTATAAAAACCATCAGGGATATAAATGAAACAAAAGA